GCTTAAGTAAATAATTCTTTCCATCAGATTGGCCTGTGGGTGCATCTGTGGAAGATTTTCTTAACTAATGGTGGATAATAGAGGGCCCAGCCCACTTTAGAGAGTGCCACCTTTGGGCAGTGATCCTGGATTGTAGAAGAAAAAAAATTTTAGCAAGCAAGTAAGCAGGTTTCCATTGTAGTTTCTTCTCTGAGCTCCTGCCTTGAATTTCTGCCTTCACTTTCTTCAATAATGGACTGTTTGGGGTACATGTAAGCCTAATAAAACTTTTCTTTCCCAAGATGTTTTTTGTCAGGGTTTTTGTCACAAAAAAGGGAACTAGGAGAGTTTCCATCACTGAATTTCCTCCCAAAGGCAGTACCTTCAGATGTTATCACCTTGAACATAAAAGATCTTTGCATATGATTTGTTGGGAGGGCACAAACATTCTTTATGTTGCTACAATAAGACTTGTTCTACACCTATAATATCATTAGTCATTATTCCCCTCCCTCTATCTTCCAGTTATCATGATAACCCATCATCATGATATTTTCTGTAATCTTCTTCAACATCTAGAAGTTTCCTATCTGGCCCTCCTGTTTTCATGCACATGCCCTTTCAATCCTTTCTGCTTGAAGGAACCAGTGAGATTCACAAAACTCCACGTCATGTGATTGCCATGCTTTAAACATCTCTTTGGTTTCCCTTTGGACCAATTATAAAAATGCAACTCTCAATTTTGACAAGTACTGCCCTGCAAGAGCTGGCTGCCATAGATGACTTCAATATCATATTGTGCTTTGCTCTTTCCCGGTCAATGAATGCCTAAGCCAAGGGCCTTTGGAACATGTTAGTAACTTATTTTCCTATCTGTGAGCTTTGTGATCCTTCTTCCAGTTCTTTCTTGTAGCCAGTTGCTATGTATCGTATCTCTCAGTGAGTTGCAACCCACTCAGAAGATACTCAACTACGCTTTCCAAGTTCTCCTGTTCATCATTGCTGTCTGCTGTATCCCCATTGTTTCCCTCCCTAGTACTAACCTCAAGGCCCAATTATTTCCTAGTTTACTCTCTGTTATCCTTAGAGGAATTCAAGTTCTATGAGATGAAGAGCATGCATGCTTATCCGTCTTATTGTTTGTTTGTTTTTTTTAACCCCAAAGCAACTGAATTGGTGCTCATGATAATTTGTTGAACACAAGTGTAACTCAAATGCATTCAACAAAGCTTTTTTTATTCTTTGAGCTCTTATCCTATTTGTTGTCCTTACTATTATTTGCTGATGAGCCTGGTGTTTAATGATTATTTGTGGTTAATATATTAAGTACAAGATTTTCTATGATGTATAAATTGACCACAGGACTGAAAGAAGTTTAACTTCCATGACAAAGCCATTGATTTGGACATATTACAGCTAAAATTTTGGACATTATAAATTTAAAAATATTTTCCATACAACCATCTCTGTCTTTATTATGTACTTTTTCCCTCTGCCTATTACCACCTTAGTTAGGCTCAGCCTGATGGTTGGGTTTGGGTTACCATATGAAGTGTAAAATCAATATTTGGTGAGGCAAGGTATATACAGGAGCAATTCTGAAGGGCATCCCTTGTTAAATTCAAAAAGCTGATTCAAATGAATCAATAGGTGAAGAAGAGGCTTATTATGACTCCCACAGTAGCACTAAGAAGGCAAAGCCCTGGAGAACTTAAAAGGTGGAAGATAAGTCCAGAGTGACTAGATGAGAAAGAGTTTACATTTGATAGAGATTTAACCTGAGGTGGGTAACATTGCCCAAAGGATTGTTGCCTTAGTTTCACAGCCAATAATGTACACAAATCCAGAGCAGGTCATAGCCCTGGTTCTATTGCCAACAATAGAGCCTGGGCTTTTGGAAGATTGCACCTTAAATTGATTTGTTCCCATTTGAACAGTCTTTCCATACTTATTTGTTTCTTCTTTCCCTGAAGAAGTATAGATTGTGTACAGCCTATTTTATTACAGCGAGTCTAGTTAATGCAAATGAGGGTCGATGTCATGTTTGTGCCAGTTACTTATATTGTAACGCTCTGATGGTCATACACTAGGTGTCAGAGAGTCTTACAAACACAATGGTGTATGTGTGCATGCTACATCCTTGACATCTACTAGAGGAGGAACAAATTCATTCAAACCTCTCAGCAAAAGTCATTAGAAATAGATTGGGACAGCATATGAATGCTTCTTTCTTCCACTCCTCCCTGTCCCTCTCCTCTTCCTCTCTCTTCCTTCTCCCTCTCCTCCTTGTCCCCTCTCCTTCTATCCTTCTTCTGTCAGGGACCCAGTATATAGCTCTGATTGTCTGGAACTCACACTATACCCCAGGCTGACCTCATGCTAACACCAATCTTCATTTCTATGCTTCATTTCTCTGGGATGACAGGCCTGAGCACCAATCCCAGCTTTAGTACCCATTTCTTAGGCACTCGTCATGGGATTTATTCATCAGGTCAGAATTGTTTTAGATAACAAGAGAAAATGGACTTTCAAGGTTCATACAATCAAAATCTTCCTCAAACACAGAGAACACATGTAAACGTGTACGCGCAACACCAGGTACAGTGGCCTTTTTATGCTTCAAAAATATTTTCAAATTCTAGGTTGCTGTCACCCTCTGCTGGGTCAAATGCCACATAAATTTCGTTGTTGCTCTACAAAGTAAAGTGATTAGGAAAGATGGCAAATATCAGAGCACTCTATAAGTCATATATTTTCTTCATAATTTTGAAGTAGGAATGTAACACATGTACTGTATATCAAAGTAAGGTTCTGTCTTAGGATAAAGGGACGTTAGAGCCATTATCAAGATAGTCTTAGCAAAAATTACATTTGAAAGATGTTTCCTGGTCCTGAAAGTAGATAAAGGAGGGTTTTTGTTTGTTTGTTTGTTTGTTTTAGAAGAAAGCTCTATTAAAAAGGAAAATATAATTATGGACCAGCATATCTATAGCAAAATCAACTCCGTAGAGGTAGCTTACTCTTGAGTAAATGAGTACCCTAGGACCAGAAACTTTTAGGAAACAGATTCTATAGAGCAAAACTTTAATCTCTACGCTTAGAATCATGCCCTATCTTGGATGCCAGAAACAAAACTTTCGGGGTTGTTTTGGAACACACCACACCTAGATGGATAATTCAAAATATTCCTCCATGTGTTCATGTTCTATCAGTGTACTTAAGGTGCCCGGGTGTTTTAAAACAGTGCGAGAGATCTAAGGACAAACGGTAAAATCGGTCAATTGAAAGTGATATCCCCTTCCTCAGAGGGGGTACATTTATTTGTGACTACTGCTTGAAGGCAGTGTCTCTGAGTTCTACTGAACCCCTGTTTATCGGGCAAAAATTCAAGGACTCAGGACAACCCATTTGCTGTTGTGCCATCCTTTGATGAAAAGGGGGAGAAATAAAAGGAATAAAAGCAGTAAGGGTGGCCTCAAGAGAAGCAGAGCTGTTGCAGGAACCTTGCAAGTTAATGAGAATTCACCCGGGACTCAAGAGCGATGGAGAGGGAGAGAAAGGAGACAGAGGGGCGGGGGCAAACCTCTTCCTCTGCAGCTGGCCCTGTCCCTCATTTGTTGCTCCAATAAGCAGTAATTAGGTCCTGAGCTAATGGTGTCAGCTGATCTGCTGTTTTTAGGCTAGACCCAGAGGAAATCTCCATGGAAACCCTGCTGGACTCGTCCCCCCACCTGGATGCCTCCAGCTCCTTTCCGCCACCTGCCTGCCGCCCGGCCCGCTGCTACCTCCTCCTGCCTCTAACCTGCAGCCTGCAGCATGCGCACTGCCCCCGGGATCCCTAAATGGGACAATTCTGCCCGTGACGTCAGCGCCCAGCCGTCTCCACAGAAACTTTTGTCCCATTGGCCAATCAGAGAGCTTGGAAGGGGCCTCGGGGTGGGGGGTGGGAGGAGAGGGGAGTGGGAGGGGTGGGGGTGAGGGGAGAGGCGAGAGGTTTAGTATGTGGAGCTGCTCGCGCAGCGCCCTGGCTGTCAGTCCCGGCCGGGGCCGCCGCCAGACCTTCGGGGAGACGCGCACCCCCGCGCCCCGCGCCCCCTCGCTCGGCCACACGCACGCACACGCTCAGCCCGGCCTCTCGGGAGTCCCTGAGCAGCCCCGAGAGCGCCAGGACCGGCGGCAGGAGGAGGGCCGAGCCTGGCTGACACCAGGGCTCTCGCCAGGGTGGTGGTGGTAGGGGGAGAGCGCAGCGAGCCGCCGGGGTGGGCTCGGACCCCTCGGGCAGGCGAGCGGGGCGGACCGGCTGAGCCCACCTCCGCGACCCTCGGCGGGGAGTGCGATCGAGAGGAGCGGCTGCAGCCGGCAGGACTGGGACTCCCCGGCTTCCAGCGCCGTGGTGACACCGGCTGGAAATCCTGACGGAGGGATCGCTGACTTCCTTCGCTTAGGAGAATCGGCAGGAGCAACTCCGATCTGGCTCGCCCGAGCACTGGAGTGGGGTCCATGACGTGGCGGGGGAGAAAAGAGATAATAATCGAAACCTCCCGCGTGAACTGCAAACTATAACCCGGGGGAGGGGGGGAGAGGACTGCTTCCTGCGTTTTATTTTCACACACACACACACACACACACACACACACACACACACACACACACGGTTCAAGTGTCTGTCTGTGCGGTAAACTTCTCTCCGTGTCTTGCACCCACGTGAGCAGGACCCGGAGGGTCCTATCCTGGACACACCATCCATCCTGAAGAGCCCCAGCCAGCGGCCTGTCTTCTTGCTCCCACGTTCCCTGGACTGGGTCTCTGTTTGGGGTACTCCATCTCTCCTGTAGAGCTATAGTCAGGTGTCTACGCATACTGGGGAGAATTCCTGAAACCAAACTCTTAAACAACCTACCCGCGGGGCCGGAAATTTTGCTCAATACCTCCGAAGAAATGGCATTTTGAGTCGTTTTTGGGGATACCTTGGTTTTCTTGAAAATTCAAAAAAAAAAAAAAAAAAAAAAAAAAAAAAAAAAAAAAAAAAAAAAACAACCCCAAAAAAACCGGGATCTGATAGGCTTGCCAACATGACAGGTAAGAACTTTCTCTCTCTCTAATTCTGTCACGGAGAAGGCCGAGGCTGGGCAGGACGTAAGGAGAGAGGGTCCAGGGACCCGTGTGCCCTTCGAGGCTCTCCAGTCGAGGGCTGTTTTCGCTACAGCCGAAGCCCTGGCTCCTGGACCATCAGCCTGGGAGGCTTCCGGGGCGCGCGCCAGAGGACTGCCTTGCGCCCCACCTGCCCTGCCCTGGACACAGCCCTGGGGCGAGGCATCGAGGGGCCGTCTCGAGTCAATATTGGGATTTTTCATAAACCGAGGAATGGGATTTTAATTATTCAGACACCCAGCTCCTCTGGGTCAGCCGCTGTTGGGATGGTTCTGGTCACACGGCGTTAAAGGGACCAGCCGCCTCTTGCGAACACCGGGAAAGCGTCCTGGACATCCTTTGCAGTTGAACGAAACGAAGCTGACTTGGTAGCGCGGGGCATCGATCGCCGGTGCCCATCCGGACCCTCCTCCTCCTCTTTCCCCGGGCGTCCCCCCCCCCCCCCCCCCTCACCGGAGGCAGGCTCCCGCGGCTTAGCCCGGGACCTCGTGTCCTGGCACCGTGGTCTGGGCTACATATTTCATGAGGCCGGGGTGAACAGGTGCGAAGTGCGCTGGGAGCATCCGGCCCACCACGGCAGCGCGGGGGGAACCATGGAGAGCGAACGTGACATGTACCGCCAGTTCCAGGACTGGTGCCTCAGGACTTACGGGGACTCGGGCAAGACCAAGACGGTGACCCGTAAGAAATACGAGCGGATCGTCCAGCTCCTCAACGGCTCCGAGGCGAGCTCCACCGACAACGCCAAATTTAAATTCTGGGTCAAGTCGAAGGGTTTCCAGCTGGGCCAGCCGGATGAGGTCCGCGGGGTAGGCGGCGGCGCCAAGCAAGTGCTCTTCGTGCGGGTCAAGACCACGGTGAGCCGCCTTCTCTGTTATTTGTCTCCTGGAGCAGCCCGGAAGGGAGGGCGGAGAGAGGGGGAGGTAGGGGGATGCTGGAGCCACTGTTAGCTCCTACCCCCCCAGCCCACTCCCCAACTCGTCCCCAGACGCAGTGGCCGGGCGTGATTTCCCTTCTAGAAAGTCTTTGTGGTCCCTTATTTTAAACCGACAGCGAACCCGCAGAGCCGGCGGCCCTCCCTGCCTCCGGGCTGAGCTGCGCCGCGCTGCGGGACAGTGGCTGGGAGCTCGTCTTGCCCGCTTCGGGGGTGCCTGGTTGTTAACCCAGCCAGGCCATTGTCCCAGGTCCTTCGCTGGGAGCCTGACGCGTGTCCTACCCCCGCCAGGGCACATGAAGGCCGGGGCTAGAAGCCCAGCCGCACGCTCGGAGAACCAGACGAGGCTGATGGATAGGCTACTGTGTCTCCTCATTGGCACAAAGCTCGAAGGTGGCGGCGGTTGAGGTGGATGTGGGGACACTATTGAGTTTTGTTGTGAGACTGCCAGCGGGGAGACACAGGACGAGTCCGCACGCCTTTTCCCCCCCCGCCCCCTCCGAGATCCTAGCAGCGCCTGTTTGGTTGGCAGATAAGGTCCTGGACATTCCTCCTCCCCGCCCCCATCCTCTTCCTCACTCGTACCAGGGAAGCTTCCTCAGCTAGGCGATGCACAACAAAGAGACGGTTTGGGGCACGCGATCTAATGGTGCATTTGTTCCTCCTCCTGGGTTGGTTCTAGTCTCCTACCCACAAAGCTGTAGTGAGCAAGGAGCTGGCTGTGAGGGACCGGTGCACCTCATTCTAAAACGCAGATGCCTGAGGGGCTGAGAGGCTGCGATGGGAAGCTTCATCCGCTTCCTTTGCAAGAAGATGGGAACAGGGGGATCCAAGTAGTATCTCGGGTCAGGTGTATAACACCTCGCTGCCTTAGGAGGGGTGCTCGCGTAGAGTGGGGGTGGGGGAGCTCTCTGGCACCCTTTGTATTTTTGTCTCGCTTTGGGATTTGTTGAGCTTGGCTCCTTCCCCCCAGCCCCCCCTCCCTTTTTCCACTGGCGGCTGGTTCCCCGTGCACAGCTCCCCGAGGATGTTAGAACGAAGGCTTCTGAAGGAGAAGGCTATGCTTTCTCTAAGGTGCTTGATTTTGGAGATGTACGCATGAAAGGCTCTTCCAAGCTCCATCTGGAGGACTCTGGCAGGTTTGGAAAGCAGACCTTTTTTTGGTTCCCCACGATTAACTGGGAATGGTTGCTTGAAGGATGGATGTTTCTTTAGGAATTTATGTGGAAGATGTGAAAACAAAGGTGAACTGGACACAGAAAAAGTTTTTTTTTTCTTTTTCTTGACGTGCAGCTGTTGAACAGTGTGCAGGAGGTGGTTAGATATAAATGATGAATTTGCTTTCTCCTGCAGCCCAGAGAGCTGCTCAAGACAATGGTGAGGTGGTAGCTTGCCTTGCTGGATTAAGATGTCAGAGGAAGGCTTATTTACATCTGCATGAGCCAGAAGTGAGTTGTATAGAAGCAACTGCTTTGTTTCATTTGGATAGAGACTATTATTAAGAACTGGACTGGAAAATAATTTATTGTTAAGCAAAGAGAATTAGAATTGTAGCTGAGTGAGTAAAATGTTATATTTATTTAAAGTACTTTTTAACTCTGCTCATATGTAAATATTATGTACGTTACATTATATATCATTGCTAACCAGAAAGTTTCTCAGCTTTTCATTCTCTTGGGGTTAAATTTAGATGCTCTGTTTGGGTCCAGTAGTTTGTACTTGTATAGATTTGATTACAAACATTATGTGTGCTAAAATATTTATCTCTTTGAAGACTAATTAAAATTACTGATAACATAAACTCTATAAAGGTTATAGAGGCACCAAGACAATCGTGGGTGTGAGTTATTCAAACCAGCATTCAACATGCTGTGACACCCATATTTTCATGTCAAAAAAAAAATAAACGTGGGGTTGCTAGAGAATTACTACTAAGCCATCTAATAGGAAGTGACAGCTGCGGGAGGAATAATAATGTGGCACGTGTTTCTCTTTTCAGTAAAGAGTCCATATATTAATGGGAGACAATGTGATCTGAGGTGATATTGTTAAATGATTTCCGTGTAGTATTTAAAGCACTCTGTATTCATCCCATTCAAGCCTATTTTGAAATGTTGAATAGGATTTTAATTCATGAGCTCTTCTACTGTTCTTTATGAATTTTTTTTTGTGCTTCTAACACAGAATTATAGGCTCCACCTTCTCTAAGAGACAACCAATCACAGTTTCAATTGGTTAAAAATAAATAAAATATCCCGTTTATCATCTTCCCTAATGTATGAATGCATTTTCCTTTTAAAACCAGGTTCATTTGTCTTCATCATGACATGAATACAAACACTAAAAAGACAGAAATATGTTTTCTTCTCGTTGGAAGCATGAATTACATACACTGGGTGAAATGAGGAACTGCCTTTGAATGGTATTTTCAAGTAGATGAAGAGTTATTCTGAGCTCCTTGGAGTCCGAGGGATACTGGCTAGCTTTTCTGTCAGTGAGATATGCTTGGCTCCTGATGTTGCATTAATCCACTGCTGCTGATAATTAGACATCATTACTACAGCAAAAAGGGAAAGAGAAAGAGGAGAGGACAGGCCTGAGCTAATTAACTACTTTCATTAAATGAAAGAGAGACAGAAAGCAACTGGGAGGGTATACAAGAGTAGAATAGACACACTACACAGGCTTAATTGCAGCGAGACTGTCTGTCAGTCTCCTAGTTAGAGGAGCTGGTTCTTTCTACCTCTTATTTTTTTTTCCAAAGAACAGATGCAGCTTTGCTGATATTCTTGCCCTGAACCCTGAACTTTAAAACTGAGCATAAAAAAAAAAAAACTGATTTAAAATAAAAACAACTGGAAGGGAGAAATATGCCCGTTCATCTTTGTCCTGGCCAGGTCTGAAGCGGAGGGAACTTTCTGTCACTGATGTTTAGATAACTCAGTGGCCTAAATGACACTGTTTGGTCACCAAGCAACTCAGCCATTTTAGGTCTGGATCAGACCTGGATGAGTACTCATATGCAGCTGGGTTAGCATCCCATCTGTTTCTACTTTGATTCCATGCAAGCACTCTTCGTACATTGTTTTTTATTTTTTTTAATTTTTATTAAAAGTATAAGAAATTCTGAAGAGTGAAAGGATGGAAACCTTAAAGCTCTGGAAAAAGACTAAGCAAATCTGACAGTGATTGTAACAAACTCAGTCAGAGATGATTTTAAATAAATAGGAGTGTAGTTCTCTTTATTGCTTTGATAGTTCATTATAAGCTTTTGATCCTGAATGATATTTTGTTTTCTGACCTCAACTAACTGAAACATAGTTACAGTCTGAACTACCACAATACATCCTACCACTTGATAGTATGAATAAGAAGTTAAAAAATAATAAGAAATCTTATTTAATCTTTCTGCATTATGACCAATGCATCATCTTGTATTTTTAAAAACCTCATTACATTGTATGGAACATTTAGTGAGAAATTTGGTAATCCCATGTTTGCTATCCTTCTTTTAGTTTTAAAGTAGTGAATGCTGAGGCTGAACAATCAAGGCATAGAATATTTTGACCTCTATTTGTAAGGGAAGATACAAAGGTGTAAATTTTGCTTCCTTGTATACTGTCATCTGTATTTACTTTGCTGTGGGCCATAAAATGCATTTTTATTCCACAAGGGAATATGCAGTATCTTTAGTGATGTGATTTAAAAATAATTATTTATTCAGCCCTGCAATCTGTAGCCTCAGAGTTCAAACTGTTCTCACTGTGCATACTACTAATTGATGACTGTAAAGTGATTACAATGAATATTCATGGACAAAATCATAAACAGCATTTTGTTAGTTCTCTGACTATGGTCTGGCTCATACATCCTTTATTTTAATCAAATGAGAGAAATAATAACTGATGAAGAATCTGCACCTGTTTCTTCCTCTTCTAACATGATGCTTTGGGAAACATCTAATCTATTAGACCTTGATCTGAAATTTGCTACAGACATCAGAGAGGAGGAACTGTGCCCTCAATCCATCATCCTCTGAGCTTATAAAAGAGGCATAAGCCATCATTGTGCTCATGTTTTTGCTAATCTATTCTCATATTGAACTGGTTGCCATTGACAGCCAACACACAGCATATAGGATGTAAAACATCTGTTTGGAGGGTTGAATAGGGCCCAGAAATAATGCCAGAAGTGTTGCTTATGAGGTGTCTTTAGTAGTTCCTTGTGGCATTGTCGTGAGGAACAAACCTTCTATGATATACCGTGCCTGTGTGAGCTCTTAGAGACACTCAGACCTGCGGTGAGGGCGCTGGAATGTGTATCAAGTGACAGGATACTTAGGAATAAACACCCATGAATATATGGGCTAAGATGAGGACCCTCAGAACATAACTCTTGACTTTTCCACATGTTCTTCGTTCTCTTAATAGTAAATACAGTGAAGAGGAGGGTGGCCAATACTTAGAATTTTGTAGAATTGCTGTAGAAGACAGAGAAAGGTGAGGAAGCAGATACTGGTGCATACAGTAAAACTTTCAAGACCTTCAATCCTGTGTCAGGATCATATAAGTATTTTTCTCATAGCTATTGTGTTTGCTGACTCCTCCTCCTACTGCTCTTCTCCATCTAAGTAAGAAGGTTCGAGATGAATCCAGTATGGTTTAGGTTATATCCTTTTTCAAAATCTCTGTATGACAATATATGACTAATCAAAATGAGCTGACAGGAAGCAAGGCATTCTGTCAGGCTATAGATCTTTGAACATCATTTGATGTTTGCTCTGCTATTAGAAAAGCTGCCAGTTAGGTAAAGTCTCATATTTGTAAAATATCAGTAATATCACTTGTCTGGTTTTGTATAATAATAACTAATAAGATGTAACATGCTCTACATAATACGTACTAATATTGGTTATATCTGATA